TCGGATTATATATTGAATAAGAAATGTGATGGCATGAAGAATTTGAGTTAAGAGATCATGGAATTGAAACCCACTGAATTCATTTGAAACTCAACATGTACCTTGTTGGTTCTCTGCAAGCTGAAATACCTTGAACATACATACATCGTTAAATATCTACAATGTTAAATGCAATATTCATCGTTGCATGTGTCAACACAGTCACTCTAAATAATGAGAGTCACTCTGTGGCTGAAATAATGCGGTGGTAAATTTTAACTCACTCATTCAAAATAATGACATATGAATGGCCAGGCCCAGGAATGTTTGATATGTAACGATTTCTAAGCATGTAATAAATCTTCTTGTTCCTTGAGTAGCAGAGAAATTATTCACACCTTCAAAACATTTCCCCAAAAGTCTTAAAAATATGTAAGCAGTCACCATGATAAAAAGGAAGCTGAGCTTCGCCATAGGAATGATAATCAGTAGTGCTTTCCTCTTGTACGAGGCTAAAGAAATAATAATCTTGGTTCTCAGGCACTGCCCGCAGCATCACAAAGTCCGCAGCACATTTCGTTTTTATTTCCATTTAAAAAAAAAAAATGAAAATCCTTAAATATTCCAAATCCAACAGTAGTCAAATACTGTATTCCAGTATTTTACTCATCAAGGAATACATTCCTGTGGGGAGGAGGCTCTTTCCCAGGCTGATTCCACACATCTTTTTATCTGGTTACACAACTGTATATTTGGTTACATACTAGTTTGAGCAACCAAAGAAAACAAAGACAGTGCAAGACACTGCCCGGCCCGCACTATATTTTCAAAAAAACATTGCCTGAGAACCAATTCTTTTATTTTATTAAGCCCTATGTACACAACATCCACAAACACAAACATATATATCACCAAGGTACTTGGGGAGGAAAGATCACTCAACACTGAGCAACACCATGGTATACCAGTATATATAGTGATGAACAAACACGGCCATTTCCTGCCATGTATATACAGCCATAACACTTAGAGTGCCCTCAACCAAAAGCTATGGGCAGCCCTCTACCACAGTGGTGAACCCATGAAGCCGTGTGTCGAGTGTGTGATGTGTGGTGTGTGGTGTGAGATGTCTGGTGTGTGGTGTGTGGTGTGGTGTCTGGTGTGAGATGTGTGGTGTGAGATGTCGAGTGTGTGGTGTGTGACGTCTGGTGTGTGGTGTGAGACATCGAGTGTGTGGTGTGAGATGTCTGCTGTGTGGTGTGAGATGTCTGGTGTGTGGTGTGAGATGTCTGGTGTGTGGTGTGAGATGTCTGGTATGTGGTGTGAGATATCTGGTGTGTGGTGTGTGGTGTGAGATGTCGAGTGTGTGGTGTGTGACGTCTGGTGTGTGGTGTGAGATGTCGAGTGTGTGGTGTGTGACGTCTGGTGTGAGATGTCGAGTGTGTGGTGTGAGATGTCGAGTGTGTGGTGTGAGATGTCTGGTGTGTGGTGTGAGATGTCGAGTGTGTGGTGTGAGATGTCGAGTGTGTGGTGTGAGATATCGAGTGTGTGGTGTGTGACGTCTGGTGTGTGGTGTGAGATGTCGAGTGTGTGGTGTGTGACGTCTGGTGTGTGGTGTGAGATGTCGAGTGTGTGGTGTGAGATGTCTGGTGTGTGGTGTAAAATGTCGAGTGTGTGGTGTGTGATGTCTGGTGTGTGGTGTAAGATGTCTGCTGTGTGGTGTGAGATGTCTGGTGTGTGACGTCTGGTGTCTGGTGTGAGATGTGTGGTGTGTGACGTCTGGTGTGTGGTGTGAAATGTCTGGTGTGTGGTGTGAGATGTCTGGTGTGTGGTGTGCGATGTCTGGTGTGTGGTGTGTGACGTCTGGTGTGTGGTGTGAGATGTCTACTGTGTGGTGTGAGATGTCTGGTGTGGTGTGAGATGTGTGGTGTGTGACATCTGGTGTGTGGTGTGAGACGTCTGGTGTGAGGTGTGAGATGTCTGGTGTGTGGTGTGTGATGTCTGGTGTGTGGTGTGTGATGTCTGGTGTGTGGTGTGAGATGTCTGGTGTGTGGTGTGAGATGTCGAGTGTGTGATGTGTGATGTCTGGTGTGTGATGTGTGGTGTGTGATGTCTGGTGTGTGGTGTGAGATGTCTGGTGTGTGGTGTGAGATGTCTGGTGTGTGACATCTGGTGTGTGGTGTGTGATGTCTGGTGTGTGGTGTGAGATGTCTGGTGTGTGGTGTGAGATGTCTGCTGTGTGGTGTGTGATGTCTGGTGTGTGGTTTGAGATGTCTGGTGTGTGGTGTGTGATGTCTGGCGTGTGGTGTGCGATGTCTGGCGTGTGGTGTGAGATGTCTGGTGTGATGTGTGTGACGTCTGCTGTGTGGTGTGAGATGTCTGGTGTGTGGTGTAAGATGTCTGGTGTGAGGTGTGTGACGTCTGCTGTGAGGTGTGTGACGTCTGCTGTGTGGTGTGAGATGTCTGGTGTGTGGTGTGAGATGTCTGGTGTGAGGTGTGTGACGTCTGCTGTGAGGTATGTGACGTCTAGTGTGTGGTGTGAGATGTCTGATGTCTGGTTAGTGATGTCTGGTGTGTGGTGTGAGATGTCTGGTGTGAGGTGTGTGACGTCTGCTCTGTGGTGTGAGATGTCTGGTGTGTGGTGTGAGATGTCTGCTGTGAGGTGTGTGACGTCTGCTGTGAGGTGTGTGACGTCTGGTGTGTGGTGTGAGATGTCTGGTGTGAGGTGTGTGACATCTGCTGTGTGGTGTGTGATGTCTGGTGTGTGGTGTGAGATGTCTGGTGTGTGGTGTGTGATGTCAGGTGTGTGGTGTGAGATGTCTGGTGTGTGGTGTGAGATGTCTGCTGTGTGGTGTGTGACGTCTGGTGTGTGGTGTGCGATGTCTGGTGTGTGATGTGAGATGTCTGGCGTGTGGTGTGAGATGTCTGGTGTGTGGTGTGAGATGTCTGGTGTGTGGTGTGTGACGTCTGGTGTGTGGTGTGAGATGTTTGACATGTTGCATATGGTGTTTGACATGTGGCATGAATGACATAATATTGTTTGACTTTGGTCGCAACTAGTAAAGATGAATAACAGATCATTAGAGGACAAGTAGACACAGAATAATTCACTTGCACATGAACTCATACACAGACATATACATGCTTAACCCGTTCTTTTGCTCACACATCATTGCAGCACACCACTGCCTCTCATGCATGCGGTGAAGCACAGGAAATGTGAGATATCATCTACATGATATGCTAAAACATATTAATTAAAGTGTCAGTCACATTATTTGGCATTGATTGATCACACTGATATAGAACTCATACATGATGACATCCACCTAGAGGAACACTTGGCTCCATAGAACAGCGTTCCACATGACATCCTAGAGGAATACTTGGCTCTATCGAACAGCGTTCCACATGACATCCACCTAGAGGAATGCTTGGCTCCATCGAACAGCATTTCACATGACATCCTAGAGGAACACTTGGATCCATCGAACAGCGTTCCTCATGACATCCTAGAGGAACACTTGGATCCATCGAACAGCGTTCCTCATGACATCCTAGAGGAATGCTTGGCTCCATCGAACAGCGTTCCACATGACATCCTAGAGGAATGCTTGGCTCCATTGAACAGCGTTCCACATGACATCCACCTAGTGGTAGATTTGACTCCATCGAAAACACACTTGAATCCATGACTTATTCCACATAATGAAAATGTTTTTGGCATGATCTATTTCTCAAGCTATTTACAAGATAAATATTTGACCATATGTACATAATCTACACACAATCCTCACATCTGGATCGGATGGTTTCCAGCTTCAAGCTCGCCAACTAGCATGGGGAAGTTGAAATAGAAAACTATAACCGGTGTTGCTCAATAATTAGTCCTTAATAGAGTTGTTTAGGTCCATCAGGGGACTATGGCTCATTATGCAAATAATATTTCATATTTTTAAGGTAACATGTATTTTGCTTTATTAATATAAACAATATGGTTAAAACAGTAAACAATCACCAGTTAGTAGGTTTCTGTTGCAGCCTGGCACTGTTTCATATCTTACTGGGGCAGCAAACTCTGGAAGCCGAAATTATAAAAGTATCGTCTAATGTACACACACACGCACACACACACTGTTCACACACACACACACTGTTCACACAAACACTGTTCACACACACACTGTTCACACACACACTGTTCACACACACACTGTTCACACACTCACTGTTCACACACACACTGTTCACACAAACACTGTTCACACACACTGTTCACACACACACTGTTCACACACACACTGTTCACACACACACTGTTCACACACACTGTTCACACAAACACTGTTCACACACACACTGTTCACACACACTGTTCACACAAACACTGTTCACACACACACTGTTCACACAAACACTGTTCACACACACACTGTTCACACAAACACTGTTCACACACACACTGTTCACACACACTGTTAACACACACACTGTTCACACAAACACTGTTCACACACACACTGTTCACACAAACACTGTTCACACACACACTGTTCACACACACACTGTTCACACACACACTGTTCATACACACACTGTTCACACACACACTGTTCACACACACACTGTTCATACACACACTGTTCATACACACAGTTCACACACACACTGTTCACACACACACTGTTCACACACACTGTTCACACACACACTGTTCACACAAACACTGTTCACACACACTGTTCACACACACACTGTTCACACAAACACTGTTCACACACACTGTTCACACACACTGTTCACACACACACTGTTCACACAAACACTGTTCACACACACACTGTTCACACAAACACTGTTCACACACACTGTTCACACAAACACTGTTCACACACACTGTTCACACACTGTTCACACACACTGTTCACACAAACACTGTTCACACACACACTGTTCACACACACACTGTTCACACACACACTGTTCACACACACACTGTTCACACACACACTGTTCACACAAACACTGTTCACACACACACTGTTCACACACACACTGTTCACACACACTGTTCACACAAACACACTGTTCACACTTCATGTACACACATACATATATAACCGGTGTCCCCGCCGTGATATCGATGGTATCCTGCTAGAAGCAATGTAACTCACTCACTCACTCACTCACTCACTCACTCAGGGTTATCTGTCCCGCTTCACATTAAACAAATCCACCTCGTCGTCCGCGTTGGCCTCCCCATCCCTGGTCAGCATCTCCACTGACTCTGGCGTCCGCTCCAACACCCGCCTCTTGCTCTCTTGAGTATCTGAGACGACATGATATTGATTACTGTTTTTCACTGCATCAGGAAGAGGGCAGCTGTCTGTTATGAAATGTCAGCTGCTTGTCACAGAGGCATACCAAGGGATGAGCACGAGGTACCCCAGACTACATTTACAAAGGGAGACAAGCATGAGGTACCCCAGACTAGATTTACAAAGGGAGTCAAGCATGAGGTACCCCAGACTAGATTTACAAAGGGAGTCAAGCATGAGGTACCCCGGACTAGATTTACAAAGGGAGACAAGCATGAGGTACCCCAGACTAGATTTACAAAGGGAGACAAGCATGAGGTACCCCGGACTACATTTACAAAGGGAGACAAGCATGAGGTACCCCAGACTAGATTTACAAAGGGAGACAAGCATGAGGTACCCCGGACTAGATTTACCCAGGGAGACAAGCATGAGGTACCCCGGACTACATTTACCCAGGGAGACAAGCATGAGGTACCCCGGACTAGATTTACCCAGGGAGACAAGCATGAGGTACCCCAGACTAGATTTACCCAGGGAGACAAGCATGAGGTACCCCGGACTAGATTTACAAAGGGAGACAAGCATGTGGTACACCGGACAAAATTTACCCAGGGAGACAAGCATGAGGTACCCCGGACTAGATTTACCCAGGGAGACAAGCATGAGGTACCCCGGACTAGATTTACCCAGGGAGACAAGCATGAGGTACCCCAGACTAGATTTACCCAGGGAGACAAGCATGAGGTACCCCGGACTAGATTTACAAAGGGAGACAAGCATGAGGTACCCCGGACTAGATTTACCCAGGGAGACAAGCATGAGGTACCCCGGACTACATTTACCCAGGGAGACAAGCATGAGGTACCCCGGACTAGATTTACCCAGGGAGACAAGCATGAGGTACCCCAGACTAGATTTACCCAGGGAGACAAGCATGAGGTACCCCGGACTAGATTTACAAAGGGAGACAAGCATGTGGTACACCGGACAAAATTTACCCAGGGAGACAAGCATGAGGTACCCCGGACTAGATTTACCCAGGGAGACAAGCATGAGGTACCCCGGACTAGATTTACCCAGGGAGACAAGCATGAGGTACCCCAGACTAGATTTACCCAGGGAGACAAGCATGAGGTACCCCGGACTAGATTTACCCAGGGAGACAAGCATGAGGTACCCCAGACTAGATTTACCCAGGGAGACAAGCATGAGGTACCCCGGACTAGATTTACCCAGGGAGACAAGCATGAGGTACCCCGGACTAGATTTACCCAGGGAGACAAGCATGAGGTACCCCGGACTAGATTTACCCAGGGAGACAAGCATGAGGTACCCCAGACTAGATTTACCCAGGGAGACAAGCATGAGGTACCCAAGACTTGATTTACCCAGGGAGACAAGCATGAGGTACCCCGGACTAGATTTACCCAGGGAGACAAGCATGAGGTACCCCGGACTAGATTTACCCAGGGGGACAAGCATGAGGTACCCCGGACTAGATTTACCCAGGGAGACAAGCATGAGGTACCCCGGACTAGATTTACCCAGGGAGACAAGCATGAGGTTTCCCCGGACTAGATTTACCCAGGGAGACAAGCATGAGGTACCCCGGACTAGATTTACCCAGGGAGACAAGCATGAGGTACCCCGGACTAGATTTACAAAGGGAGACAAGCATGTGGTACACCGGACAAGATTTTCCCAGGGAGACAAGCATGAGGTACCCCAGACTAGATTTACCCAGGGAGACAACCTCTTTGGATATGTGGACAAGGAGTCCGACCTCTGATCAGAAGGTCCATGGTTGAATCCCATCACAGGACTCGAAAATTTTATGACCACTACATTGGCGCCCAACGTGGGGCTGAGCACGTTCATATTAAATTTGAGCAAAGTAAGCCTCAGTACCCTACTATATAATAAATAAACTAAATAAACTCCTGGAGACAAGCTTGAGGTACCCCACACCAGAAATCCCCGGGGAGACAAGCATGAGGTACCCAAGATGAGAAATCCCCAGGGAGAAAAGCATGAGGTACCCCGGACTAGATTTACCCAGGGAGAAAAGCATGAGGTACCCCGGACTAGATTTACCCAGGGAGACAAGCATGAGGTACCCCGGACTAGATTTACCCAGGGAGACAAGCATGAGGTACCCCGGACTAGATTTACCCAGGGAGACAAGCATGAGGTACCCCAGACTAGATTTACCCAGGGAGACAAGCATGAGGTACCCCAGACTAGATTTACAAAGGGAGACAAGCATGAGGTACCCCGGACTAGATTTACCCAGGGAGACAAGCATGAGGTACCCCGGACTTGATTTACCCAGGGAGACAAGCAAGAGGTAACTAGAGATAAGAGTGGAGGACTGAACTACTTACTGTACACAGCCTTGAGTACCACGTGTAATGTGATCCCACACAAACACACGAAGAGACCGGTGACGTTCACTGAGTTCATCAGGTCCCCATTGATCTCAGCAGCCAGGCCCAACGTACATATCTCCTACAGATAGAAAGGTACACACATACATAGCAGCAGGAACTACATTCACACAACGTACACACGTTCACCATACTGGCCACAGTACACACCTTCACAATGCCGGACAACGTACACACCTTCACTATACCGGACAAGGTACACACCTTCACAATGCCGGACAAGGTACACACCTTCACTATGCTGGCCACAGTACACACCTTCACTATGCTGGACAAGGTACACACCTTCACTATGCCGGACAACGTACACACCTTCACTATGCTGGCCACAGTACACACCTTCACAATGCCGGACAACGTACACACCTTCACAATGCCGGACAAGGTACACACCTTCACTATGCTGGCCACAGTACACACCTTCACAATGCCGGACAACGTTCACACCTTCACAATGCCGGACAAGGTACACACCTTCACTATGCTGGACAAGGTACACACCTTCACTATGCCGGACAATGAACACACCTTCATCATGCCAGACAAAGTACACACCTTCACCATGCCGGACAAGGTACACACCTTCACCATACCGGCCACAGTACACACCTTCACAATGCCAGACAAGGTACACACCTTCACAATGCCGGACAAGGTACACACCTTCACTATGCGGGACAAGGTACACACCTTCACTATACCGGACAAGGTACACACCTTCACTATGCTGGACAAGGTACACACCTTCACTATGCCGGACAAGGTGCACACCTTCACTATGCCAGACTAGGACAGGATGAAGGTGGGTGTCTGGGAGAGCAGCAGAAACTACATACAGACAAGGTACACACCTTCACAATGCCGGACAAGGTACACACCTTCACTATGCCGGGCAAGGTACACACCTTCACTATACCGGACAAGGTACACACCTTCACTATGCCGAACAAGGACAGGGTGAGGCTGGATGTCTGTCAGAGCAGCAGAAACTACATACAGACAAGGTACACACCTTCACTATGCCAGACAAGGACAGGGTGAGGCTGGATGTCTGGGAGAGCAGGAGAAACTACATACAGACAAGGTACACACCTTCACTATGCCGGACAAGGACAGGGTGAGGCTGGATGTCTGGGAGAGCAGCAGAAACTACATACAGACAAGGTACACACCTTCACTATGCCAGACAAGGACAGGGTGAGGCTGGATGTCTGGGAGAGCAGCAGAAACTACATACAGACAAGGTACACACCTTCACTATGCCGGACAAGGACAGGGTGAGGCTGGATGTCTGGGAGAGCAGCAGAAACTACATACAGACAAGGTACACACCTTCACTATGCCGGACAAGGACAGGGTGAGGCTGGATGTCTGGGAGAGCAGCAGAAACTACATACAGACAAGGTACACACCTTCACTATGCCGGACAAGGACAGGGTGAGGCTGGATGTCTGGGAGAGCAGCAGAAACTACATACAGACAAGGTACACACCTTCACTATGCCGGACAAGGACAGGGTGAGGCTGGATGTCTGGGACAGCAGGAGGAACTACATACAGACAAGGTACACACCTTCACTATGCCGGACAAGGACAGGGTGAGGCTGGATGTCTGGGACAGCAGGAGGAACTCGCTGAACTCCAACATGAAGGCAAGACTCGCCCCGGCCAGGAGAAGCCCAGCCGTGGTCATGAACATCCCCAGGTCCTCACAGCGGAAGAATTCTTCTCTTGTTGCTACCTCCATACCTGGAACATGATCAACTTCATGAACATTTACAATGAACATGTATTGACCTGATGATACTGGGATCTGTGTGAAGACAAAACAAACAGACAGATACGTGTGAAAGGAGACAGACAGACAGACAGACAGACAGACAGACACCTACCTTCAAACGCTGCAGACAGCGGAAACAGGCCAACAATCATCCAGGGCTGTACGTGGTACATCATGTCAAGCGGGTTACCCAGGCCTGAAACATGCAGTCACCATTAGCCAATACAGGTCACCATTAGCCAATACAGGTCACCATTAGCCAATACAGGTCACCATTAGCCAATAAAGGTCATCATTAGCCAATACAGGTCTTTATTAGCCAATAAATTTATAATTAGCAAATACAGGTCATCATTAACCAACACAGGTCATCATTAACCACTACAGGCCACCATCAGCCAATACAGGTCATCATTTGCCGATACAGGTCTTTATTAGCCACAAAAGGTCATCATTAACCACTACAGGTCACCTTTAGCCAATAAAGGTCATCATTAGCCAATACAGGTCTTTATTAGCCAATAAATTTATAATTGGCAAATACAGGTCATCATTAACCAACACAGGTCATCATTAACCACTACAGGTCACCATCAGCCAATACAGGTCATCATTAGCCGATACAGGTCTTTATTAGCCAATACAGGTCATCATTAACCACTACAGGTCACCATCAGCCAATACAGGTCATCATTAGCCAATACAGGTCATCATTAGCCATTACAGGTTATAATTAAACAATACAGGTCATCATTAACCACTAAAGGTCACCATCAGCCAATACAGGTCATCATTAGCCAATACAGGTCTTTATTAGCCCAAACAGGTCTTAATTAGCCAATACAGGTCTTTATTAGCCAATAAAGGTCATCATTAACCAATACAGGTCATCATTAACGAACTACAGGTCACCATCAGCCAATACAGGTCATCATTAGTCAATACAGGTCATCTTTAGCCAATACAGGTTTTTATTAGCCAATAAAGGTCATAATTAGCCAATACAGGTCATCATTAACCACTACAGGTCACCATCAGCCAATACAGGTCATCATTAGCCAATACAGGTCATCATTAGCCATTACAGGTTATAATTAGACAATACAGGTCATCATTAACCACTAAAGGTCACCATCGGCCAATACAGGTCATCATTAGCCAATACAGGTCTTTATTAGCCCAAACAGGTCTTAATTAGCCAATACAGGTCTTTATTAGCCAATAAAGGTCATCATTAACCAATACAGGTCATCATTAACCAACTACAGGTCACCATCAGCCAATACAGGTCATCATTAGTCAATACAGGTCATCATTAGCCAATACAGGTTTTTATTAGCCAATAAAGGTCATAATTAGCCAATACAGGTCATCATTAACCACTACAGGTCACCATCGGCCAATACAGGTCATCATTAGCCAATACAGGTCTTTATTAGCCAATACAGGTCTTTATTAGCCAATAAAGGTCATAATTAGCCAATACAGGTCACCATTAGCCAATACAGGTCACCATTAGCCAATACAGGTCATATTTAGACAATACAGGTCATCATTAACCACTACAGGTCACCATCGGCCAATACAGGTCATCATTAGCCAATACAGGTCTTTATTAGCCAATACAGGTCTTAATTAGCCAATACAGGTCTTTATTAGCCAATACAGGTCATCATTAGCCAATACAGGTCACCATTAGCCATTAATTTATGATTAGCCAATACAGGTCATCATTAACCACGACAGGTCACCATCAGCCAATATAGGTCATCATTAGCCAATACAGGTCATCATTAACCAATACAGGTCACTTTTAGCCAATACAGGTCATCATTAGCCAATACTGGTCTTTATTAGCCAATAAAGGTCATAATTAGCCAATACAGATCACCATTAGCCAATACAGATCATCATTAACCAATACAGGTCACCATCAGCCAATAAAGGTCTTTATTATCCAATAAATTTATAATTAGCAAATACAGGTCATCATTAACCAATACATGTCATCATTAACCACTACAGGTCACAATCAGCCAATACAGGACTTTATTAGCCAATTAAGGTCATAATTAGCCAATACAGGTCATCATTAACCACTACAGGTCACCATTAGCCAATACAGGTCATCATTAGCCGATACAGGTCACCATTAGCCAATATACATCACCAGTATATACATCACCTGATATATGTCAAAGTTGGATGATACACAGACACAATAGCTAACTTCCACCCACTGTCTGTTAGTGATCAGTTGAGCTAATACTCACCTACTTCCTGTTTCTTGGTGACCAGTTGAGCTAACACTCACCTACTTCCTGTTTCTGGGTGACCAGTTGAGCTAACACTCACCTACTTCCTGTTTCTGAGTGACCAGTTGAGCTAACACTCACCTACTTCCTGTTTAAGGGTGACCAGTTGAGCTAATACTAACCTGTTTCCTGTTTCTTGGTGACCAGTTGAGTTAATACTCACCTACTTCATGTTTCTGGGTGACCAGTTGAGCTAATACTCACCCACTTCCTGTTTCTGGGTGACCAGTTGAGCTAACACTCACCCACTTCATGTTTCTGGGTGACCAGTTGAGCTAATACTCACCTAATTCCTGTTTCTGGATGACCAGTTGAGCTAATACTCACCCACTTCCTGTTTCTGGGTGACCAGTTGAGCTAACACTCACTCACTACCTGTTTCTGGGTGACCAGTTGAGCTAAAACTCACCTACTTTCTGTTTCTGGGTGACCAGTTGAGCTAATACTCACCTACTTTCTGTTTCTGGGTGACCAGTTGAGCTAATACTCACCTACTTTCTGTTTCTGAGTGACCAGTTGAGCTCATTCTCACCTACTTCCTGTTTCTGGGTGACCATTTGAGCTAATACTCACCAACTTCCTGTTTCTGGGTGACCAGTTGAGCTAATACTCACCTACTTCCTGTTTCTGAGTGACCAGTTGAGCTAATTCTCACCTACTTCCTGTTTCTGGGTGACCATTTGAGCTAATACTCACCAACTTCCTGTTTCTGGGTGACCAGTTGAGCTAATACTCACCTACTTCCTGTTTCTGAGTGACCAGTTGAGCTAATTCTCACCTACTTCCTGTTTCTGGGTGACCATTTGAGCTAATACTCACCCACTTCCTGTTTCTGGGTGACCAGTTGAGCTAATACTCACCTACTTCCTGTTTCTGGATGACCAGTTGAGCTAATACTCACCTACTTCCTGTTTCTGAGTGACCATTTGAGCTAATACTGACCCACTTCCTGTTTCTGGGTGACCAGTTGAGCTAATACTCACCTACTTCCTGTTTCTGGATGACCAGTTGAGCTAATACTCACCTACTTCCTGTTTCTGGGTGACCAGTTGAGCTAACGTCCAGCGCAGCCCCGACAGGAAGGATGCAGTGATCACCATGAGGAAACCCTCCAGGTTGAACTGAGTTGACTTGTACGTGAAGAGGAACAGGCCCACAGCAACACACAGGATGACCATGACCAGGCTCCAGCGCTGCAACACAAACACTACCCATGATGACACTTACACCAATCTACAGCACTGCAACACAAACACTACCCATGATGACACTTACACCAATCTACAGGTTGCAACACAAACACTACCCATGACAACACTTTCACCAATCTACAGCGCTGCAACACAAACACTACCCATGATGACACTTACATCGATCTACACTTACACCAATCTACAGCGCTGCAACACAAACACTACCCATGATGACACTTACACCAATCTACAGCGCTGCAACACAAACACTACCCATGATGACACTTACACCAATCTACAGGTTGCAACACAAACACTACCCATAACAACACTTACACCAATCTACAGCACTGCAACACAAACACTACCCATTACAACACTTACACCAATCTACAGCGCTGCAACACAAACACTACCCATAACAACCCTTACACCATTCTACAGGTTGCAACACAAACACTATGCATGATGACACTTACACCAATCTACAGCACTGCAACACAAACACTACCCATGATAACACTTACACCAATCTACAGTACTGCAACAGAAACACTACCCATAACAACACTTACACCAATCTACAGTACTGCAACAAAAACACTACCCATAACAACACTTACACCAATCTACAGGTTGCAACACAAACACTACCCATGATGACACTTACACCAATCTACAGCACTGCAACACAAACACTACCCATGATGACACTTACACCAATCTACACTTACACCAATCTACAGCGCTGCAACACAAACACTACCCATGATGACACTTACACCAATCTACAGCGCTGCAACACAAACACTACCCATGATGACACTTACACCAATCTACAGGTTGCAACACAAACACTACCCATAACAACACTTACACCAATCTACAGCACTGCAACACAAACACTACCCATAACAACACTTACACCAATCTACAGCGCTGCAACACAAACACTACCCATAACAACACTTACACCATTCTACAGGTTGCAACACAAACACTAAGCATGATGACACTTACACCAATCTACAGCACTGCAACACAAACACTACCCATGATAACACTTACACCAATCTACAGTACTGCAACACAAACACTACCCATAACAACACTTACACCAATCTACAGTACTGCAACAAAAACACTACCCATAACAACACTTACACCAATCTACAGCGCTGCAACACAAACACTCCCCATGATGACACTTACACCAATCTACACTTACACCAATCAACAGCGCTGCAACACAAACACTACCCATGATGACACTTACACCAATCTACAGCGCTGCAATACAAACACTACCCATGATGACACTTACACCAATCTACAGGTTGCAACACAAACACTACCCATAACAACACTTACACCAATCTACAGCACTGCAACACAAACACTACCAATAACAACACTTACACCAATCTACAGCGCTGCAACACAAACACTACCCATAACAACACTTACACCATTCTACAGGTTGCAACACAAACACTATGCATGATGACACTTACACCAATCTACAGCAATGCAACACAAACACTACCCATGATAACCCTTACACCAATCTACAGTACTGCAACACAAACACTACCCATAACAACACTTACACCAATCTACAGTACTGCAACACAAACACTACCCATAACAACATTTACACCAATCTACAGGTTGCAACACAAACACTACCCATAACAACACTTACACCATTCTACAGGTTGCAACACAAACACTACCCATGATAACACTTACACCAATCTACAGTACTGCAACAGAAACACTACCCATGATGACACTTACACCAATCTACAGTACTGCAACACAAACACTACCCATGATGACACTTACACCAATCTACAGTACTGCAACACAAACACTACCCATGATGACACTTACACCAATCTACAGGTTGCAACACAAACACTACCCATGATGACACTTACACCAATCTACAGTACTGCAACACAAACACTACCCATGATGACACTTACACCAATCTACAGTAGTACTGCAACACAAACACTACCCATGATTACACTTACACCAATCTACAGCGCTGCAACACAAACACTACCCATGATGACACTTACACCAATCTACAGGTTGCAACACAAACACTACCCATGATGACACTTACAACAATCTACAGTACTGCAACACAAACACTACCCATGATGACACTTACACCAATCTACAGTAGTACTGCAACACAAACACTACCCATGATGACACTTACACCAATCTACAGCGCTGCAACACAAACACTACCCATGATGACACTTACACCAATCTACAGCGCTGCAACACAAACACTACCCATAACAACACTTACACCAATCTACAGGTTGCAACACAAACACTACCCATGATGACACTTACACCAATCTACAGTACTGCAACACAAACACTACCCATGATGACACTTACACCAATCTACAGTAGTACTGCAACACAAACACTACCCATGATGACACTTACACCAATCTACAGTAGTACTGCAACACAACACTACCCATGATGACACTTACACCAATCTACAGCGCTGCAACACAAACACTACCCATGATGACACTTACACCAATCTACAGCGCTGCAACACAAACACTACCCATAACAACACTTACACCAATCTACAGGTTGCAACACAAACACTACCCATGATGACACTTACACCAATCTACAGTACTGCAACACAAACACTACCCATGATGACACTTACACCAATCTACAGTAGTACTGCAACACAAACACTACCCATGATGACACTTACACCAATCTACAGTACTGCAACACAAACACTACCCATGATGACACTTACACCAATCTACAGTACTGCAACACAAACACTACCCATAACAACACTTACACCAATCTACAGCGCTGCAAAACAAACACTACCCATGATGACACTTACACCAATCTACAGCACTGCAACACAAACACTACCCATGATGACACTTACACCAATCTACAGGTTGCAACACAAACACTACCCATGATGACACTTACACCAATCTACAGTACTGCAACACAAACACTACCCATGATGACACTTACACCAATCTACAGTAGTACTGCAACACAAACACTGCCAATGAGGACACTTACACCAATCTATAGCATATACTTAAAAAACATAGAACAGTACAGTAAATATTCCATGTTGCCATGGTAACGTGTGACTGGTGTACTCACAAATTTCTCCAACCTCAGTAAAATTGAAAATCCGAGAATGAATATGATGGCTGTTGATTTGGACATGGTGTATCTGCAACAGAAAGTAGATAACAGTGTAAGGACATCTTGTATCTCCACCAACACACATCATACGTCAAGTACTGACCAGATCCACATCATCCATCAAGTACTGACCAGATCCACATCATCCATCAAGTACTGACTGGACCCACATCATACGTCAAGTACTGACCAGATCCACATCATCCATCAAGTACTGACCAGATCCACATCATCCATCAAGTACTGACTGGACCCACATCATACGTCAAGTACTGACCAGATCCACATCATACGTCAAGTACTGACAGGACCCACATCATACATCAAGTACTGACTGGACCCACATCATACGTCAAGTACTGACTGGACCCACATCATACGTCAAGTACTGACCAGACCCACATCATACGTCAAGTACTGACCAGATCCACATCATACGTCAAGTACTGACTGGACCCACATCATACATCAAGTACTGACTGGACCCACATCATACTTCAAGTACTGACTGGACCCACATCATACGTCAAGTACTGACTGGACCCACATCATACGTCAAGTACTGACCAGACCCACATCATACGTCAAGTACTGACCAGACCCACATCATACGTCAAGTACTGACCAGACCCACATCATACGTCAAGTACTGACCAGATCCACATTATACGTCAAGTACTGACTGGACCCACATCATACGTCAAGTACTGACAGGACCCACATCATACGTCAAGTACTGACCAGATCCACATCATACGTCAAGTACTGACTGGACCCACATCATACGTCAAGTACTGACCAGATCCACATTATACGTCAAGTACTGACCAGACCCACATCATACATCAAGTACTGACAGGACCCACATCATACGTCAAGTACTGACCAGACCCACATCATACGTCAAGTACTGACCGGACCCACATCATACGTCAAGTACTGACCAGACCCACATCATATGTCAAGTACTGACTGGACCCACATCATACGTCAAGTACTGACCAGACCCACATCATACGTCAAGTACTGACCAGATCCACATCATACATCAAGTACTGACCAGACCCACATCATACGTCAAGTACTGACCAGATCCACATCATACGTCAAGTACTGACTGGACCCACATCATACGTCAAGTACTGACCAGACCCACATCATACGTCAAGTACTGACCAGATCCACATCATACGTCAAGTACTGACCAGACCCACATCATACGTCAAGTACTGACCAGATCCACATCATACGTCAAGTACTGACTGGACCCACATCATACGTCAAGTACTGACAGGACCCACATCATACGTCAAGTACTGACCAGATCCACATCATAGGTCAAGTACTGACTAGATCCACATTATACCTCAAGAATTGATATGTTTTACAGCATACTTCAAGTGAAGATCAGATCCATGTCATACTTCCAAGAACTAAACAGTTCTACTTTATACTTTCATCCAAACAAGCCTCATGTTGATCTATTTGGACAGAGGACATGTGGGGTCTGGCAACCTTAGGTGATGTGAGGTGAAATTGGGTTTAACGTCGCGTCCAAGATTATTGCACTTATATAGCGACATGCATGCACGTGTATGTGTGTGTGTGGCTGCTTGTACTAGTCCGGACTGATGCCGATTTATAGTGCTAGCTCACTGAGATACCATGCCGCAGTTTAACATGAATACCCCACTCAGACACAGTATACTGACTCCGAGCCGACCAGTCCTTGTTTTAGCCCCTTAATGCAGAGCGCCAGACAGGGTAACAACAAGTACAATCTTTTAACATCTTTTTGTATGACGCGGCCCGGGATCGAACCCTGGACCTTCCGCTCTCCGGGCGGACGCTCTACTACAAGACCACGGAGGGGGTTCTGGCAACCTTAACTCCTGCAGGGTTATATCAGGTGTCGGGCAACTTTAACCCCTGAAGAGTCATATTGGATGTCGGGCACCTTTAACCCCTGAAGAGTCATATTGGATGTCAGGTAACTTTAACCCCTGAAGAGTCATATCAGGTGTCGGGCAACTTTAACCCCTGAAGGGTCACATTGGATGTCAGGTAACTTTAACCCCTGAAGGGTCATATTGGATGTCAGGTAACTTTAACCCCTGAAGGGTCATATTAGATGTCAGGCAACTTTAACCCCTGAAGGGTCATATCAGGTGTCAGGCAACTTTAACCCCTGAAGGGTCATATTGGATGTCAGGCAACTTTAACCCCTGAAGGGTCATATCAGGTGTCAGGCAACTTTAACCCCTGAAGAGTCATATCCTAATACAATAATAGTACAAACTTACAATGAAACTGTGATGAATTCAAAGCTCCAGTTTGACAGACCAATGTCCAGTGCACTGACTATACCTGAAACAGATTTACACAGTCAGATTTAGATTGATAGATTTACACAGTCAGATAAATTTACCCTTTTGATTGTTTGATCAGGTTGGTTCGAGACTGCAGACAAACAGAAAATCAACCAACTTTCCCCTCACATTCTTACTATACCAATTACACGATAGTCGTAAAGAAACCAAAATTCAAATTGACAAACATTGAAACTAATCATAACAGTCAATCGTCTGCGAGTTCAACTCCAAGCATGGTTTTTGTCACCTATCACAGTGGGGAGTTTTGACTGGTGGCAGAGATAGTATAGAGAGCTCTGCGAACAGGATAATGCTGTGAGAAGCTTGTCACCAGTGGGCGCCACACGCTTGACATAGTCAGTCCGGCACAAAGTTACCTCCCCTTACACTCACCAGTGGGAGCCACCCTCTTTACATAGTCAGTCCGGCACAAAGTTACCTCCCCTTACACTCACCAGTGGGAGCCACCCTCTTTACATAGTCAGTCCGTCACAAAGTTACCTCGCCTTACACTCACCAGTGGGAGCCACCCTCTTTACATAGTCAATCCAGCGGGGAGTTACCTCCCCTTACACTCACCAGTGGGAGCCACCCTCTTTACATAGTCAGTCCAGCAGAGAGTTACCTCCCCTTACACTCACCAGTGGGAGCCACCCTCTATATAGTCAGTCCAGCAGAGAGTTACCTCCCCTTACACTCACCAGTGGGTGCCACCCTCTTTACATAGTCAGTCCAGCAGAGAGTTACCTCCCCTTACACTCACCCGTGGGCGCCACCCTCTTTACATAGTCAGTCCAGCAGAGAGTTACCTCCCCTTACACTCACCCGTGGGCGCCACCCTCTTTACATAGTCAGTCCAGCAGAGAGTTACCTCCCCTTACACTCACCAGTGGGAGCCACCCTCTTTACATAGTCAGTCCAGCAGAGAGTTACCTCGCCTTACACTCACCAGTGGGCGCCACCCTCTTTACATAGTCAGTCCAGCAGAGAGTTACCTCGCCTTACACTCACCAGTGGGCGCCACCCTCTTTACATAGTCAGTCCAGCAGAGAGTCACCCTCTCCTCCTTCTTGCGACACTCGAGGATGCTGCGAACAACGCCAGCAGACATGAACTTGAACACCAGGTGGGTCATTGTGATGGTCAGCGGCGGGTAGTGGAAGGCCTACAACACACACTCAGCTTGTCATGTTGACCCGGGGCCTCTGTGGGCGTGCCCTACACTGACATACCAACAACACACTCTCAGCTTGTCATGTTGACCAGGAGCCTCAGTGGGCGTGTCCTATGCTGACATACCAACAACACACTCTCAGCCTGTCATGTTGACCAGGAGCCTCAGTGGGCGTGCCCTACGCTGACATACCAACAACATACACTCAGCTTGTCTTGTTGACACGGAGCCTCTGTGGGCGTGCCCTATGCTGACATACCAACAACACACACTCAGCTTGTCTTGTTGACACGGAGCCTCTGTGGGCAAGCCCTACACTGACATACCAACAACACACTCTCAGCCTGTCATGTTGACCAGGAGCCTCAGTGGGCGTGCCCTACGCTGACATACCAACAACACACACTCAGCTTGTCTTGTTGACACGGAGCCTCTGTGGGCGTGCCCTACGCTGACATACCAACAACAAACACTCAGCTTGTCATGTTGACCCTCAGACCTTTCTCCCCACAGGAGTCTCCAACATCTGACACTCAGACCTTTCTCCCCACAGCAGTCTCCAACATCTGACACGCAGACCTTTCTCCCCACAGGAGTCTCCAACATCTGACACGCAGACCTTTCTCCCCACAGGAGTCTCCAACATCTGACACGCAGACCTTTCTCCCCACAGCAGTCTCCAACATCTGACACTCAGACCTTTCTCCCCACAGGAATCTCCAACATCTGACACTCAGACCTTTCTCCCCACAGGAGTCTCCAACATCTGACACGCAGACCTTTCTCCCCACAGGAATCTCCAACATCTGACACGCAGACCTTTCTCCCCACAGGAATCTCCAACATCTGACACGCAGACCTTTCTCCCCACAGCAGTCTCCAACATCTGACACGCAGACCTTTCTCCCCACAGGAGTCTCCAACATCTGACACTCAGACCTTTCTCCCCACAGGAATCTCCAACATCTGACACGCAGACCTTTCTCCCCACAGGAATCTCCAACATCTGACACGCAGACCTTTCTCCCCACAGCAGTCTCCAACATCTGACACGCAGACCTTTCTCCCCACAGGAGTCTCCAACATCTGACACTCAGACCTTTCTCCCCACAGCAGTCTCCAACATCTGACACTCAGACCTTTCTCCCCACAGGAATCTCCAACATCTGACACTCAGACCCTTCTCCCCCCAGCAGTCTCCAACATCTGACACTCAGACCTTTCTCCCCACAGCAGTCTCCAACATCTGACACGCAGACCTTTCTCCCCACAGGAGTCTCCAACATCTGACACTCAGACCTTTCCCCCCCCAGGAGTCTCCAACATCTGACACTCAGACCTTTCTCCCCACAGCAGTCTCCAACATCTGACACGCAGACCTTTCTCCCCACAGGAGTCTCCAACATCTGACACTCAGACCTTTCCCCCCCCAGGAGTCTCCAACATCTGACACTCAGACCTTTCTCCCCACAGGAGTCTCCAACATCTGACACTCAGACCTTTCTCCCCACAGAAGTCTCCAACATCTGACACTCAGACCTTTCTCCCCCCAGCAGTCTCCAACATCTGACACTCAGACCTTTCTCCCCACAGGAATCTCCAACATCTGACACGCAGACCTTTCTCCCCACAGGAATCTCCAACATCTGACACGCAGACCTTTCTCCCCACAGCAGTCTCCAACATCTGACACGCAGACCTTTCTCCCCACAGGAGTCTCCAACATCTGACACTCAGACCTTTCTCCCCACAGCAGTCTCCAACATCTGACACTCAGACCTTTCTCCCCACAGGAGTCTCCAACATCTGACACGCAGACCTTTCTCCCCACAGGAATCTCCAACATCTGACACGCAGACCTTTCTCCCCACAGGAGTCTCCAACATCTGACACGCAGACCTTTCTCCCCACAGGAGTCTCCAACATCTGACACGCAGACCTTTCTCCCCACAGCAGTCTCCAACATCTGACACTCAGACCTTTCTCCCCACAGGAGTCTCCAACATCTGACACGCAGACCTTTCTCCCCACAGCAGTCTTCAACATCTGACACTCAGACCTTTCTCCCCACAGCAGTCTTCAACATCTGACACTCAGACCTTTCTCCCCACAGCAGTCTCCAACATCTGACATGCAGACCTTTCTCCCCACAGCAGTCTTCAACATCTGACACTCAGACCTTTCTCCCCACAGGAGTCTCCAACATCTGACACTCAGACCTTTCTCCCCACAGCAGTCTCCAACATCTGACACTCAGACCTTTCTCCCCACAGGAGTCTCCAACATCTGACACTCAGACCTTTCTCCCCACAGCAGTCTCCAACATCTGACACGCAGACCTTTCTCCCCACAGCAGTCTTCAACATCTGACACTCAGACCTTTCTCCCCACAGCAGTCTTCAACATCTGACACTCAGACCTTTCTCCCCACAGCAGTCTCCAGCATCTGACACGCAGACCTTTCTCCCCACAGCAGTCTTCAACATCTGACACTCAGACCTTTCTCCCCACAGCAGTCTTCAACATCTGACACTCAGACCTTTCTCCCCACAGGAGTCTCCAACATCTGACACTCAGACCTTTCTCCCCACAGGAATCTCCAACATCTGACACGCAGACCTTTCCCCCCACAGGAATCTCCAACATCTGACACTCAGACCTTTCTCCCCACAGCAGTCTCCAACATCTGACACGCAGACCTTTCTCCCCACAGAAATCTCCAACATCTGACACGCAGACCTTTCTCCCCACAGGAGTGACCAACATCTGACACTCAGACCTTTCTCCCCACAGCAGTCTCCATCATCTGACACTCAGACCTTTCTCCCCACAGCAGTCTCCAACATCTGACACTCAGACCTTTCTCCCCACGGTGATCTAGGCATGTACTTAACACCATACTGATGTAGGCATTACTTAACACCACACTGATGTAGGCATTACTTAACACTACACTGATGTAGGCATGTACTTAACACTACACTGATGTAAGCATTACTTAACACCACACTGATGTAGGCATATACTCCCCATGGTGGACTTAAGGCCATACTGATCTAGGCATGTACTCCCCATGCTGTACTGAAGGCAATACTGATGTAGGCATATACTCCCCATGCTGGACTTAAGGCCATACTGATGTAGGCATGTACTCCCCATGCTGTACTTAAGGCAATACTGATCTAGGCATGTACTCCCCATGGTGGACTTAAGGCCATACTGATCTAGGCATGTACTCCCATGCTGTACCTAAGGCAATACTGATCTAGGCATCTACTCCCCATGGTGGACTTAAGGTCATACTGATCAAGGCATGTACTCCTCATGCTGTACTTAAGGCCATACTGATCAAGGCATGTACTCCCAATGCTGTCCTTAAGGCCATACTGATCTAGGCATGTACTCCCCATGGTGGACTTAAGGCAGTACTGATCTAGGCATGTACTCCCCATGCTGTACCTAAGGCCATACTGATCTAGGCATGTACTCCCCATGCTGTACTTAAGGCAGTACTGATCTAGGCATGTACTCCCCATGCTGTACCTAAGGCCATACTGATCTAGGCATGTACTCCCCATGGTGGACTTAAGGCCATACTGATCAAGGCATGTACTCCCCATGGTGGACTTAAGGCCATACTGATCAAGGCATGTACTCCCAATGCTGTCCTTAAGGCCATACTGATCTAGGCATGTACTCCCCATGGTGGACTTAAGGCCATACTGATCAAGGTATGTACTCCCAATGCTGTCCTTAAGGCCATACTGATGTAGGCATGTACTCCCCATGGTGGACTTAAGGCCATACTGATCTAGGAATGTACTCCCCAAGGTTGACTTAAGGCAATAATGATCTAGGCATCTACTCCCCATGGTGGACTTAAGGCCATACTGATCTAGGCATCTACTCCCCATGGTGGACTTAAGGCCATACTGATCAAGGCATGTACTTCCCATGCTGTACTTAAGGCCATACTGATCTAGGCATGTACTTCCCATGGTGGACTTAAGGCCATACTGATCTAGGCATGTACTTCCCATGGTGGACTTAAGGCCATACTGATCTAGGCATGTACTCCCGATGCTGTACTTAAGGCCATACTGATCAAGGCATCTACTCCCCATGGTGGACTTATGGCCATACTGATCTAGGCATCTACTCCCCATGCTGTACTTAAGGCAGTCCTGATCTAGGCATGTACTCCCCATGGTATGCGTAAGGCAATACTGATCTAGGCATGTACTTCCCATGGTTGACTTAAGGCCATACTGATCAAGGCATGTACTCCTCATGCTGTACTTAAGGCCATACTGATCTAGGCATGTACCCCCATGGTGGACTTAAGGTCATACTGATCAAGGCATGTACTCCTCATGCTGTACTTAAGGCCATACTGATCAAGGCATGTACTCCCAATGCTGTCCTTAAGGCCATACTGATCTAGGCATGTACTCCCCATGGTGGACTTAAGGCCATACTGATCAAGGCATGTACTCCCCATGGTGGACTTAAGGCAGTACTGATCTAGGCATGTACTCCCCATGCTGTACCTAAGGCCATACTGATCTAGGCATGTACTCCCCATGGTGGACTTAAGGCCATACTGATCTAGGCATGTACTCCCCATGGTGGACTTAAGGCCATACTGATCAAGGCATGTACTCCCAATGCTGTCCTTAAGGCCATACTGATCTAGGCATGTACTCCCCATGGTGGACTTAAGGCCATACTGATCAAGGTATGTACTCCCAATGCTGTCCTTAAGGCCATACTGATGTAGGCATGTACTCCCCATGGTGGACTTAAGGCCATACTGATCTAGGAATGTACTCCCCAAGGTTGACTTAAGGCAATAATGATCTAGGCATCTACTCCCCATGGTGGACTTAAGGCCATACTGATCTAGGCATCTACTCCCCATGGTGGACTTAAGGCCATACTGATCAAGGCATGTACTTCCCATGCTGTACTTAAGGCCATACTGATCTAGGCATGTACTTCCCATGGTGGACTTAAGGCCATACTGATCTAGGCATGTACTTCCAATGGTGGACTTAAGGCCATACTGATCTAGGCATGTACTCCCGATGCTGTACTTAAGGCCATACTGATCAAGGCATGTACTCCCCATGGTGGACTTATGGCCATACTGATCTAGGCATCTACTCCCCATGCTGTACTTAAGGCAGTCCTGATCTAGGCATGTACTCCCCATGGTATGCGTAAGGCAATACTGATCTAGGCATGTACTTCCCATGGTTGACTTAAGGCCATACTGATCAAGGCATGTACTCCCCATGGTGGACTTATGGCCATACTGATCTAGGCATCTACTCCCCATGCTGTACTTAAGGCAGTACTGATCTAGGCATGTACTCCCCATGGTGGACTTAAGGCCATACTGATCTAGGCATGTACTCCCCATGGTGGACTTAAGGCCATACTGATCTAGGCATCTACTCCCCATGCTGTCCTTAAGGCCATACTGATCTAGGCATGTACTCCCCATGGTGGACTTAAGGCCATACTGATCTAGGCATGTACTCCCCATGGTGGACTTAAGGCCATACTGATCTAGGCATCTACTCCCCATGCTGTCCTTAAGGCCATACTGATGTAGGCATGTACTCCCCATGGTGGACTTAAGGCCATACTGATCTAGGCATGTACTCCCATGGTGGACTTAAGGCCATACTGATCTAGGCATGTACTCCCCATGGTGGACTTAAGGCCATACTGATCTAGGCATGTACTCCCCATGGTGGACTTAAGGCTATCTTGAACTGGCTGACCTTGATGAACTTCTGGTTGTAGAAGGTGAGGCTGATGGAGAAGGTGAAGTAGAAGATGACAAGGCCAAGTGTCTTGATGGCCGAAGCCAGGTAGCTGGCCGAGCACATGGACTTCTTGACCAAATTGACTTTCGGTTTCTGTGGTTCCCCCATGCCCTCCTCCCTGGGAGGCCTGTAACCATGGTAACATGTTTGATCACGTAAATATTTGTCATTGATTTCAAAGTTTCATCGAGATGACGTTAAGGTAGATCATTCTGTACACATGGTAAATACACAAATGGTATTTCAAAAGGCTAAACACACATGCAATATTGGTAACTTCATCATGACATCACTAATAATGCACTAATAATTTGTACCAGCATGTTTGTATTCCTGTACACCATCGGGTCTTTCAGTATTGCTGTAGTAGTATCATGTTGTATCATGGTACTGTAGTGCTGTAGTAGTATTATGTATCATGGTACTGTAGTGATGTAGTAGTATCCTGATGTATCATGGTACTGTAGTGCAGTAGTAGTATCATGTATCGTGGTACTGTAGTGCTGTAGTAGTATCATGTTGTATCATGGTACTGTAGTGATGTAGTAGTATCCTGTGTCGTGGTACTGTAGTGCTGTAGTATTATCATGTATCATGGTACTGTAGTGCTGTAGTAGTATCATGTTGTATCATGGTACTGTAGTGCTGTAGTAGTGTTATGTATCATGGTACTGTAGTGCTGTAGTAGTATCATGTTGTATCATGGTACTGTAGTGATGTAGTAGTATCCTGTGTCGTGGTACTGTAGTGCTGTAGTAGTATCATGTATCATGGTACTGTAGTGCTGTAGTAGTATCATGTTGTATCATGGTACTGTAGTAGTATCCTGTTGTATCATGGTACTGTAGTGCTGTAGTAGTATCATGGTAATGTAGTGTTGTAGTAGTATTATGTATCATGGTAATGTAGTGCTGTAGTAGTATTATGTATCATGGTTATGTAGTGCTGTAGTAGTATCCTGTGTCGTGGTACTGTAGTGCTGTAGTAGTATCATGTATCATGGTATTGTAGTGCTGTAGTAGTATCCTGTTGTATCATGGTAATGTAGTGCTGTAGTAGTATCCTGTGTCGTGGTACTGTTGTGCTGTAGTAGTATCATGTATCATGGTATTGTAGTGCTGTAGTAGTATCCTGTTGTATCATGGTACCGTAGTGCTGTAGTAGTATCCTGTTGTATCATGGTACTTTAGTGCTGTAGTAGTATCCTGTGTCGTGGCACTATAGTACTGTAGTAGTATCCTGTATTGTAGTACTGTAGTAGTATCCTGTTGTAGCATGGTATTGAAGTGCTGTAGTAGTATCATACAATTTGTGTCAGCAAACTGACTTGAATCAAACTTCAAGGACGACAATTGCCCCCTCTCATTTCACTCTAATATTTCACAATGTTTACATGACTGGTTCAACTCTTTGTTGGTCAGTGATCTGTGCTGTAGTGTTGGTCAGTGATCTCTGCTGTAGTGTTGGTCAGTGATCTGTGCTGTAGTGTTGGTCAGTGATCTGTGCTGTAGTGTTGGTCAGTGATCTCTGCTGTAGTGTTGGTCAGTGATCTCTGCTGTAGTGTTGGTCAGTGATCTGTGCTGTAGTGTTGGTCAGTGATCTGTGCTGTAGTGTTGGTCAGTGATCTCTGCTGTAGTGTTGGTCAGTGATCTGTGCTGTAGTGTTGGTCAGTGATCTCTGCTGTAGTGTTGGTCAGTGATCTGTGCTGTAGTGTTGGTCAGTGATCTGTGCCGTAGTGTTGGTCAGTGGTCTCTGCTGTAGTGTTGGTCAGTGATCTCTGCTGTAGTGTTGGTCAGTGATCTCTGCTGTACTGTTGGTCAGTGATCTGTGCTGTAGTGTTGGTCAGTGATCTGTGCTGTAGTGTTGGTCAGTGATCTGTGCTGTAGTGTTGGTTAGTGATCTGTGTTGTAGTGTTGGTCAGTGATCTGTGTTGTAGTGTTGGTTAGTGATCTGTGCTGTAGTGTTGGTCAGTGATCTGTGCTGTAGTGTTGGTCATTGATCTCTGCTGTAGTGTTGGTCAGTGATCTGTGCTGTAGTGTTGGTCAGTGATCTCTGCTGTAGTGATGGTCAGTGATCTGTTCTGTAGTGTTGGTTAGTGATCTGTGCTGTAGTGTTGGTCAGTGATCTCTGCTGTAGTGTTGGTCAGTGATCTCTGTTGTAGTGTTGGTCAGTGATCTCTGCTGTACTGTTGGTCAGTGATCTCTGCTGTAGTGTTGGTCAGTGATCTGTGCTGTAGTGTTGGTCAGTGATCTCTGCTGTAGTGTTGGTCAGTGATCTCTGCTGCAGTGTTGGTCAGTGATCTCTGCTGTAGTGTTGGTTAGTGATCTGTGCTGTAGTGTTGGTCAGTGATCTGTGCTGTAGTGTTGGTCAGTGATCTGTGCTGTAGTGTTGGTTAGTGATCTCTGCTGTAGTGTTGGTCAGTGATCTCTGCTGTAGTGTTGGTCAGTGATCTCTGCTGTAGTGTTGGTCAGTGATCTGTGCTGCAGTGTTGGTCAGTGATCTGTGCTGTAGTGTTGGTCAGTGATCTGTGCTGTAGTGTTGGTCAGTGATCTGTGCTGTAGTGTTGGTCAGTGATCTCTGCTGTAGTGTTGGTCAGTGATCTGTGCTGTAGTGTTGGTTAGTGATCTCTGCTGTAGTGTTGGTCAGTGATCTGTGCTGTAGTGTTGGTTAGTGATCTGTGCCGTAGTGTTGGTCAGTGGTCTCTGCTGTAGTGTTGGTCAGCGATCTCTGCTGTAGTGTTGGTCAGTGATCTCTGCTGTACTGTTGGTCAGTGATCTGTGCTGTAGTGTTGGTCAGTGATCTGTGCTGTAGTGTTGGTCAGTGATCTGTGCTGTAGTGTTGGTTAGTGATCTCTGCTGCAGTGTTGGTCAGTGATCTGTGCTGTAGTGTTGATCAGTGATCTCTGCTGTAGTGATGGTCAGTGATCTGTTCTGTAGTGTTGGTTAGTGATCTGTGCTGTAGTGATGGTCAGTGATCTCTGCTGTAGTGTTGGTTAGTGATCTGTGCTGTAGTGTTGGTCAGTGATCTCTGCTGTAGTGTTGGTCAGTGATCTCTGTTGTAGTGTTGGTCAGTGATCTCTGCTGTACTGTTGGTCAGTGATCTCTGCTGTAGTGATGGTCAGTGATCTGTTCTGTAGTGTTGGTTAGTGATCTGTGCTGTAGTGATGGTCAGTGATCTCTGCTGTAGTGTTAGTCAGTGATCTCTGCTGTAGTTTTTTCAGTGATTTGTGCTGTAGTGTTGGTTAGTGATCTCTGCTGTAGTATTGGTCAGTGATCTGTGCTGTAGTGTTGGTTAGTGATCTGTGCTGTAGTGTTGGTCAGTGATCTCTGCTGTAGTGTTGGTCAGTGATCTCTGTTGTAGTGTTGGTCAGTGATCTGTGCTGTAGTGTTGGTCAGTGATCTGTGCTGTAGTGTTGGTCAGTGATCTGTGCTGTAGTGTTGGTCAGTGATCTGTGCTGTAGTGTTGGTCAGTGATCTCTGCTGCAGTGTTGGTCAGTGATCTCTGCTGTAGTGTTGGTTAGTGATCTGTGCTGTAGTGTTGGTCAGTGATCTGTGCTGTAGTGTTGGTCAGTGATCTCTGCTGTAGTGTTGGTTAGTGATGTGTGCTGTAGTGTTGGTCAGTGATCTGTGCTGTAGTGTTGGTCAGTGATCTCTGCTGTAGTGTTGGTTAGTGATGTGTGCTGTAGTGTTGGTCAGTGATCTGTGCTGTAGTGTTGGTCAGTGATCTGTGCTGTAGTGTTGGTCAGTGATCTGTGCTGTAGTGTTGGTTAGTGATCTGTGCTGCAGTGTTGGTTAGTGATCTGTGCTGTAGTGTTGGTCAGTGATCTGTGCTGTAGTGTTGGTCAGTGATCTGTGCTGTAGTGTTGGTTAGTGATCTCTGCTGTAGTGTTGGTCAGTGATCTGTGCTGTAGTGTTGGTCAGTGATCTCTGCTGTAGTGTTGGTTAGTGATCTGTGCTGTAGTGTTGGTCAGTGATCTGTGCTGTAGTGTTGGTCAGTGATCTGTGCTGTAGTGTTGGTCAGTGATCTGTGCTGTAGTGTTGGTTAGTGATCTGTGCTGCAGTGTTGGTCAGTGATCTGTGCTGTAGTGTTGGTCAGTGATCTCTGCTGTAGTGATGGTTAGTGATCTGTGCTGTAGTGTTTGTCAGTGATCTGTGCTGCAGTGTTGGTCAGTGATCTGTGCTGTAGTGTTGGTCAGTGATCTCTGCTGTAGTGTTGGTTAGTGATCTGTTCTGTAGTGTTGGTCAGCGATCTGTGCTGTAGTGTTGGTCAGTGATCTGTGCTGCAGTGTTGGTTAGTGATCTGTGCTGTATTGTTGGTCAGTGATGTGTGCTGTAGTGTTGGTTAGTGATCTGTGCTGCAGTGTTCGTTAGTGATCTGTGCTGTAGTGTTGGTTAGTGATCTGTGCTGTAGTGTTGGTTAGTGATCTGTGCTGCAGTATTGGTCAGTGATCTGTGCTGTAGTGTTGGTCAGTGATCTCTGCTGTAGTGTTGGTTAGTGATCTGTGCTGTAGTGTTGGTCAGTGATCTGTGCTGTAATGTTGGTCAGTGATCTGTGCTGTAGTGTTGGTTAGTGATCTGTGCTGCAGTGTTGGTCAGTGATCTGTGCTGTAGTGTTGGTCAGTGATCTGTGCTGTAGTGTTGGTCAGTGATCTGTGCTGTAGTGTTGGTCAGTGATCTCTGCTGCAGTGTTGGTCAGTGATCTGTGCTGTAGTGTTGGTTAGTGATCTGTGCTGCAGTGTTGGTCAGTGATCTGTGCTGTAGTGTTGGTCAGTGATCTCTGCTGTAGTGTTGGTTAGTGATCTGTGCTGTAGTGTTGGTCAGTGATCTGTGCTGTAGTGTTGGTCAGTGATCTGTGCTGCAGTGTTGGTTAGTGATCTGTGCTGCAGTGTTGGTTAGTGATCTGTGCTGTAGTGTTGGTTAGTGATCTGTGCTGTAGTGTTGGTTAGTGATCTGTGCTGTAGTGTTGGTCAGTGATCTGTGCTGTAGTGTTGGTCAGTGATCTCTGCTGTAGTGTTGGTCAGTGATCTGTGCAGGAAGACACTGTGAGATGTGCAGTTCTGCGTTATTCAGGAGCATCTAGGGTCAGGATTGATAGGCCAAGAATTATTTTATTATCAAGGTTAACCGG